CACTGCGCCGAATCAACTCAATTACGCATTTACGTTAGGTGATTACGCAGGAAGGTGGATGGATGTGCTTATAATTAAAATTAATATAGTGTGTACGGTTGGATCTTTTATATCAGCCTTTAGAGGATGTTTTTTGTATTTACTTTAGGAGAGTCTATAGTTAGTCCTAATTATATTTTAGGTTCATATGGTATTTCTGGTTGTATGGCTGATTTCTTTGTGAGACCAATGGCTTGTCATAAAGATTAGTATTGTTATCCTTATAGAGTTGATTGTACGTATGGTGTATATTATATGCGTTGAGTTGATGATTTTACGTATGTTTTGCGCGTGGGTATATTGGTGGCTGTTTAGTTTAATAAAAATGTGGGTTATGTAGTCCTAAAATGATTTTAATAATTAGCCTAATTTTAATAAATATTAAGATATGTGTTTGAATTTATTTGCCTTACGGTTGTTTGTTTTGAACTTTTATTTTAAGTTAAAATGGTGAAAGTGATCGTATGGTGTGATAAGTTATCCGTTAGATTTTATATTTGTTTTACTGCTTTGTATTTAATAATATGTAGTTGGCTATTAGGTCAGCTGTAGGTTTATATTGATTTAGTATTGTATTTTTATTGAGTCAAAGTACCCATTTTTTGTAATATTGTTATAAACCTATATTTATGGTAATAGGTAATTAAGTGTTTTGGCAGTATTTGATAAATTTTAGATATTGGTAGTCAATAAATAAGTAATTTAATTATATTAATTATTTTTAATAACTTTTCCGTCTGCTTATAAAAAACATTGCTAATTTAAAATTTAATTAGGAGTACCTGCCCAATGTTACTAATAAATAGCCGCAGTATATTGACTGTGCAAAGGTAGTATAATTAATTGCCCTTTAATTGGGGGCTTGTTTGATTGGCTTGACGAGATAATTGTTAATATTTAATAGTTACGTGAATTTTATATTAAGGGTTCAAAATCCTTATATATTAATAAGACGGAAAGACCCTAGGATCTTTTATTTTTGTTTGGGCGAATTCGTATCATTTATAGAAATTGTGACCCTAATGGATTATTGAGTAAAGTTACCCTAGTGATAACAGATTAATAGTTAATGAGAGATCTTGTCGAATTAATTGTTTGCTACCTCGATGTTGACTTAGGTTAGGGCTTTGGTGTAGTAGGTTAAGTTGTGGGTCTGTCCGACCTTTAAACCTCCATGAGCTGAGTTAAGACCGGCGTGAGCCAGGTCGGTTCTTATCTATTGTAGAAATTTATCAGTACGAAAGGATGGTAAAATTTTTATTGAATCTATTGGAAGTAAACTAATTCCATACTTTTATTGTTTAATTATGAAAATAGAGAGTTCATCCTTTAATATCTGCATAAATAATTATTAGGTGTTATGATAAAATTGTTAAGTTTTTATGATTAGCAGTTAGTTTTTTGTTAAAATTTGTGTTTTAATAGAATAAAGGATATAAAGGGGATAGGGCACAGTGCCAGCATCTGCGGTTAGTCTGTTTTCTTTGCTTTTTAGTAGAGGTGGTTAAATTATTAATAAATAAAAGTGGGTTGAATTTGTTTATTGAGATTTTAAGTAATTGTTTTTGTAAAATTGGCTTTATGACAGGGATTAGATACCTCATTAATACTATTAGTAATATGCCTGAGTTTTATAACTAAAATAATTTGGCAGAGTGATTCTTTTTAGGGGAAGGTGTGGTGTAAAGGATGGTCGGCCTAATAATTTACTTTTATTATATTGGTGTATATCTGGTTTAATATTATTGCTGAGTAGCAGAAGTTGTGTAGTATAATTTAAGCCAAGCCTATGTGCTGTTTATAAAAGTATTCATGCGTTACATTAATAAATATTTGATTGTGATGTTAAATAATTTAGGACTTAAAAGCATTGTTTGATTAGTTAGTAAATGTGAAACAAGTTTAGCTCAGGTACACACCGCCCGTCAGCCTCGATTATTACGGAGGTAAGTCGTAACAAGGTAACTTTAAATGAATTAGAAGTTGGTTACTGGTTAATAAATTTAATCAGTTAAAATGAAATTATCGTTGTTGTATTATGGTAGTGTATGTTGTATAATAGCTGTATGTATGTTTGTAACTTGTTTCGCTTATATTGTGTTGGGTTGAAATATGTTTATGAGTAAGGGTAGTGTTAAATTTGGGGGAGAAAATCAAGTTGTTGAGCTCTCGTAAATAATTGCGCCTACAATGGTTGTTTTAGTTTTATGTGCTTTGAATGTGAAATTTATAACTAGTGCTTTGGATTGTTTTTCTAGTGAAACAATTAAGATTATAGGTCATCAATGGTATTGAACTTATGAATATCCGGATGGTTATTATGAGTCTTTTATGACTAAGGATTGTTTTTAGTAGATAAGCCTTTGCGTAT